TTGCTTATTAAAATGACAAATCACAGAGAGAGTTCCACTGGATGAGGTTAATTTTGCAGATATTTAGCAGGCACATTCACATTCTCCCACAACCTGGACAGATGACAAGTGATGAGTTCCTTAGAAATGAAACATATATTGCTTGTGTAATAGTGTAAAATAGCTAATTTTTAGATTTATGAAATCTAATATGCCAAAATCCTTGGCTGACATCAATCAGTGAAGCTGTGCTGGTTTATGTGAGCTGAAAATGAGACGTTGTGTCTCAAATACTGTTTGGTTGTAACTTTTGGAATAATCGGTATATACATTTATTAATGACAAGCTTCTCAAAATATGCATGCTTTGGTCAGTGTTTGTAATAGGGATGGTTTAAGTGATGAGTATTTTCTTGAACTGGGAAAATATTTTCTCTGACCGTTATTAATATATGTAGTTCTTTGCTGAACTTACTTTTCTTTCTATTAAAAATTCTAAAGGCTATTAACTTGTACTGTGAGTCTTTTCCACCCTATTCTTTATTTCAATCTCTCAGACACATATTTGAGGTAGGAATAATATTTTTAATGATTAAATTCATAAAACCACATAATGGAATTCTTACTTAACACAGGCAAAATTGGAGATACAGTACACGGGCTATAAGTCATGCCACTACTTGAATACTTTTTCTTCCAGAAATTTGGCTTTAGCACATGTGATTTCCCAAGCCTCAGTGACAAGATAACAGACATTTGTGGTTCTTAATTATTTGTAAACTGTATTAATGATACTTAGAAAGTGCAGTTATTAGAAAAGAATTAAAGAATAACCGTCCATCTGTATTACTAAAGTTTGTGAACAAGATGTTCAAATAGAAGAGTTTCTGAGATTCTGTTTTAAATTTGGTGACCACATATACATATGTACCTGTGTATTATATTTTAAGGAGCTTTCTTTATGATTCTTTTTTCAGTGCAGTTTAAGGGAAATAACAGTTCCCTTCAGTATGTCATAATTAATCAGATTTAACATAATACCATTTCAAAAGTGGTCCAAAAGAAGGAAAAGATGTGGTATTAACTGATTATAGAAGGATGTGCTAGACACTGCAATACAGATTGATTACAATAGTATGTTTATCATGGATGATTCAAAGACTTACCTTCTAAAACACATAAGAAGAAAAAGAAAAGTAGTAAAATCATTGCTATATATTATGCCTATCGAAATAACACATATTTGCTTCATATCTATGCACTTCCACTAGCCCAGTGGAAGAAGAAAGTGTGCAAAGCACTCTTAAGTGAGCTATTCCAAATGAAATTACATTGTTGCATACAGTTACAGTTTAACTACAACAAATACCCTGTTAATTGATATTAATATATTCATTAATATTCTTTGCTGGTAAACATGAAGTAATGCCAAACTTCCTTGTTAATGTGAAGTTTGCAATGAAGATGACCACCAATAAAACTATCTATCTGTAAGGGTTCAAGATGTAGTGATGTAAGATCATGTTCAGATTGTCAACATAATCAAGAGTGTGATATAAGAAAGAAATTCTTGAGGGATAAGGTCAAGGTCAATTAGGCCCTAAGTCTTCAGTGTGTTGCATACAGGGGCTTCACTGCTCTTTCTCAGAGGCCCTTTGGCTTCATTGGGGCTCAGACCAGAAATGGATAAGAAGTAGTAAAGGGATGGGTCCCTGCAGGTGTGGTAGACTGCCAAGACTCGAGTTTTAGAATTAAATCTATCCAGGGCTGATGATTTTTAGGACAAGTACACTGTTTAAAACTTCCAAATAGAGCTCTAAATAATGCATTTGTGCTATGCTAGCCTTTCATACAGGGGAAAATGTAATGACTTGGAGTGTAAAAAACATGTTGTGGCTCATCCACTTGCACAGAAGCAACTAATTTTGAATAAGTTTCTAAGTCCATGTCCTCAGAATGGACCGAAATCACAATTATTTTCATCAGTCATTTTTATGTTGACCATAAAGAGTCTGATCTTGTGAGGTGCTGACTTACATTGTCATTCTCATTGTCAATGAGCAGCTGACGAGGCTATTGATTGTTTTACATGAATCACTTTGACTCCTTTGAAGCAATAGAATCTGATTAAAAGAAATCATTACTGCGGAGTTAAACATCATTACACTTTCACTTTTGCAATGAGGTGCTTTGCAAACCTTTCCTAAAACATACTTCAGAATGGCAGTAAATGCAAAAATAATTTGAAGAGGGCAGCAGATATTTCCCAAATTTTGCATCCATATTAATTCAAACTAATTTCTAAAGACTAACACTCTTCCCTCCCCCCCAAAGAAGAACAAGACATTAATTTCTTAAAATTATTGCTATATTTAGCAGTTCATAACATCATCAACATGCACATTTCTGTGACTTAGGTTTAATACAAATATTTCAAAATATCAGATCTGAAAAATGCTCTCCATTTTTATTACAGGCCTATTCAATAAAATATATACCTTTGGTATAATAGGTTTTATTGCATATAGCAAAGCATTTTCATTATTATCAAAAATATATTTTAGCAGTTGTGTATTATAGGGGACTTTAATTCCTCAGATAACCCACAATATTGGATACAGTATCTTGAACCAGCTCATAAGTATGTAGACATGATAAACATGTACATTTTCTGTTGGAAATGGCAAGTGAATTCTGAATTTACTAAGCTACTTAAACTACCTTTATGCTACTTTATTAAATGCATCATAAGACATTATTTTCTTTGAAAATATGCTTTAAATAAGGCAAGTTTTGTAAGAATTTAAATAGTTTTTTTCCTTACATGAAAAACTTCTTTTATAAGGTGGTCATGCCTCCCTTGCTATTCTGAAATTACTACACACAAAGCAATAAAATTACAGAGCTAAGCATCCTCCAAGGATGAAATCACAGTGAAGAAAGCTGTGATAGACTTTATGCTGTTAATCATGTTGTATCATATCTCATCATATGATGATAACACAATAGAAGAGAGCTGGTTATTTACACAGTGGTTCTGACTGGCAAATGTAAACAAAGATGAGTCAAGCACCTCGGCAATGCATTGACTTGCTAGTTCATCTCCAGGGTTTTACAACATTGTTCATTAGTTTCATTGTCAACTTGACATGAGGCACCTATTTTTAAGGTAAGAAACTGGTCAGTTTAAGTGTCAGTGGGGTTTTCAAGTAAATATGAATCTGTTATCTTTTAGTTCATTTTCAAGTTAAGGGTACACTAATCTATGATCCAAGAAAGAAGAAATGCTGTTAGATTTGTATGCAGTTTAAGGAATTATGTAATATAGAGTGACTGTTGGTTTCTAAGACATATAAGCTCAAGAAAATCTCCAGTACAGCAAGTAATAATTTAAATGAACTGTTTAGGTAAAGTCCACATTTTAATATAGATTAACAGAAGTCTGATGGCTATTCAGAAACTCTTAGTCCAGTTGAAATGATTGGATTGGCTTGGAAAAGCTCAAGTGTACTTGAACATCAGTGTAGGTATGAACACTTGAGCATTAAAAGGTATGACAGTTGGAGCATCTTTCCAGAACCTAATGCTCCTTCTTTTTAAGGTCAATTTGAACCTGAATCCTATTGTTGTGAATTGCTTTTCTCCACCAGAAGGCTTCATTATAAACAGAGATTCATTGTTGCAGGAAACAGCCTGTCTAGCTATTCTTCCTCACTTCACAGTATGCTTCCCCTCACTGAAGAAGTGCCTGCTGACAGTGGAAAGTCCACATAGCAGGTCCTGTCCTGAGAGTTATGCATTCCTCCTTGCACCAGGATCATAAGTAGCATCTTCTTTTTTCTGTTATTTAAAGGTGTCTAATTGTTCTAGGTTACTACACTGTGTTCATCATTGTGGTAAACACCTAACTATTATTTTGAAAAGCTTATCTGTGGCAGATTACAAAATAACCTATAGTCTCAGGCTATTCTCAGGAGATCAAGTTGAGAAAGATGTTAAATGCTCATCCTGTAAATATTTCTCATTTCCCAGGGTTTCATGAGGTTAAGATTCCATTAACCAGACAAAACTGCCATCCTCACCCACCATCCCTCTTAAATGCATTAATCATCTTCTCACAGAGGTTTAGAACTTCTGTACTGTACACAAGTAAGAAATAACGGTCCTTCCTCACTTACGTTTCTAGGATGTGTTTCCCCAGAAACTCCTCTGGGGCACTTCCTGATTTCGTGAATTACTGTCTCTTCAGAAAGAATGGTGGTTTATATTTCTCTTCCCACCCCTCCTACACCTTTTTTCATGCCCTAATGGCTTGAGCTGATGAATCATGGCTTTTTTCTTTCCTTGCTGTTTATCCTCCTGCCCTTGTAGCTTTGAAGATAATCAGTCAGGTATATGTCTTCTCCTAAAAGCTATTCTAAAATTAAGAAGTCAATTAAGAATGCCATTCCTAGGAGGGCTGGTGAGGTTTAATCTCCAAAAAATGAATAATCATGTCTATGTTAGGAGCAAAGCAATATAGGTAGAGGTACTTATCAAAAATCTTAATGAATATTCAATTACCTTGATTTCTCACTTCACATTTCCTGACATATTTCATAATGGTCTGATTTGATCTTTTAAAAGAAGTTCTCAGAGGTTTTAGAATCAGGACCATAACCTGGCCAGAAGAAGCAGGCAGAAAGTGCTAGGAATAGTTTTGTGATTTCTTTTATTAAGCCAGGCAATGTGGATACTTCTGTTTCTAGTTGTTTATCTCCATTTAAGGGAAAAAAAAAGCATCCATGCATAATTTTGTAATTCCCTCAAGGATATAATTGTGTTGTTATACAAGAGATATACCATTCTATAATAGGATCTGTATGTCAAGGCTCTGTAACTTGAGTTCCCAAATACCATGCAAGGAATTTGATCAAAGTGCTTTCAGTGTAGAAGAGATATTTCACCATGATATTTAACAGTAGGTCTAATAAAACAGATACTTTATTTGGATGCTTCTGACTGATAATAAGATTCCCATTTTCAGACAGAGTCCACCTTCACTTGATTGTTGTTTGTGATCAGTGGAGAAGGTTTACTTTTCATCCTGTCTCCTGCATCGTTAGAACTATCCTGGAAAAAAACCTTTGCTGTACAAAAAGTTACAATAATTCTCTTGTATTCTCTTCTGAAGTTCTGGTTCAGGAGTCCATATATGATAGCATTAAGGCAGCTGTTGAAATATGCCATGTAATAACTAGATACAAACAACCACTCTGGAATCCTAGGGATTATAGTTTCTGGGTTCACAGCCACAGCAAGGCCTATGAAGTTCAAAGGAGCCCAGCAGACTGCAAACAGTACAAATACCACAAACATGGTTACAAAGTTTCTGAAGTCATGTGGTTTCAGTCTGGGGTTGTTATCTGGTTTAACCCTTCGCCTTACCTGAATAACAAGGATCCATATTCTCAAGTAACAGAAAGTAACTATGGCTATGGGAAGCAGGAAATGGAAAAACACAACTGCTATTGTATATGCTGAGCTCACAGATTGTGCAAATGTACATGAGTAAATCCTGGGATCATACTGTAGCGATCCCACAAACAGGTTGGGCACGATAGCAACAAATGTTAGGATCCAGATAAGAACAACATAGCATAATGAATTCTTGTCGCTGTACAGCTTGTCATATTTGAGACTGTGGCAGATATAGCAGTACCGATTGATAGCGATGCCTGTAATATTGAAGATTGATCCAATGACACTTAGGCCCATCAAGAAGCCACTAATCTGGCAGTGAAGGTATCCCAGATTCCATCCGTTGTGAAATACAGATGTGAGGACCAGTGGGTATGGGTAGATTGCTACAACCAAGTCGGCAACTGCCAGGCTTACAACAAACACATTTCCTGCAAAATAAATAAAAAAAGGCAAGTATTAGTTTTTCTTTTGCTCTTTTCTGGCACTTCTGCTTCTCAATATACTAATGAGCAGCCTTAGTGGAACACTTTAAATGTAATTAGTTTCTACTCTCTAGATCAAAAGTCATTGCCCTATATCAGAAATAAGACACTCATTTTTAATCTAAAAAGGAAGTAGCTTAACTTAAAGATGGACCTTTTAAAAGAAAACCGTCTTTGAATTTAATTACCATGACCTAGTATTTTTATAATCTCATTTATTTGGATTCTTCCAATAACACAGACTCAGAATTCATATTAAACTAAAATATTCATAACTTCAAGTCTTGCTTTGGTTTTAAATAGTCTCTCTTGAAAAATCAGCAGAAATAATATGATTACTAATAAATTTCAAAACTCACTTTTACCTTCCCTACTTAATTTAATTCCCTTTCCTTACATTACCCCTTAACTTTTCCAGTCCTGAAATGAAAATATGTTTTTTTCCCATTTGTATTTCAAGCTTTCGTGACTTTAACGTGACTTTTAAAGTGACTTGTTTTGAATCTGCTGGCTAGCACTTAACTAAACTTAACTTCTAAGAGTCTAGCTGTACACAATCCTAGTTGTCTTTCCTAAATTGAGAGACATACTCTTCAGTAAAAGAAGTGGTGCTGGGCAGCGACCTAGACAGTTCCCAGACACTATTGATGCCACGTTCTTCTTTGCCTCCAAACTGGAAAATTAAGCAATGATCCATTCCTTGGTTCATTTTTTAATTAAAATAAAGGGAGATTATTTTAGACTGTGTTAGTTCTTAATAGAACCCCTCTCTGTTCCTAAAAGATAATGGAACCCATCATAACCACATGTTTTGAATTAATCTTTTGAGCATAGATTATATATTCTTTTTTTAGTTGCTTAAATGATAACTGTTCTGAATGCCTCCCAACCATTCTAGTTTCTAAGAAGGTCACAAGACACATTGATATATCTTTTATTCATTTTTTAAAAATAACTACTACATGTATTGGTCTAGTTATTCATGTCCATATCTACAGAAAGCTATAAATATGTATATGTCATAGAATCATAGAATCGTTTAGGTTGGAAAAGACCTTTAAGATCACCAAGTCCAACTGTTAACCTAGCACTGCCAAGTCCACCACTAAAACATGTCCCTAAGCACCACATCTACACGTCTTTTAAATACCTCCCAGGGATAGTGACTCAACCACTTCCCTGGGCAGCCTGTTCCAATGTTTGACAAACCTTTCGGTGAAGACATTTTT